CTCCCCATCTTCACCACGCCATATCAATCAAGACCGCTCTTGTGTTACTACATCAAGAGCGGGTAAAGTTGTTATTACACACTCTCACCAGTGACGTCAACAAAAACGTTTACTCCCTCCTTACCAAGAAAGCCCAACCGTCACGCCCTTTCATTACACATTCAGGGCGAGTAGATATCACCACCCTACCGCTTACGGGGTTACGTTCCGTTAGCAAGGCAAGTGAATTTTCCTTGGGCAGACGATACTGATCGAAATCAAGGTACAGTTCACTTCACTCATCTTACTTCCGCACGCGATCCACCATAAAGTTGGTTCCCTGCCAGCAATGCAAAAGTGCMTTCTCACGAAGTTCGAGTTTAACATACTCATACTTTGGAGAGACTTGTGAAAGTCAAAGGCACTCTTCACGTTGAGTGTCCATCCATACTCAMTTCTCTCGTGAGCTTGCACCGTAACTACTTGGCGAGTGAGCGAGAAAGCGCTCCGAGACAAGTCTCTGGCGGGACACGCAAGAAGATACCAAGACTGGTCACTCTGACAAAATGCACAAGAAGACTTGCCGTGGTTGGTCACTCTGACGAAAATGCGCAAGAGGACTTGCCGCGGCTTATCAGATACTGGGTGCCCTGAACGAGCGTGGAAGCAGCGATTGACGTTTTTCGTATCCAGCAAAATCGCCCTCTGCTCCTCTATACCTCTACACAACCTCTTTCCTTCGTTGGCCTCCTCCTCGCTCCTCCCCGGTTGCCACGTGTATTCCGTGAGTCACGTTTTGATCACTCACACTCTAGAGTTCGAGCATCGTTCGCATCATCGCTCACGTGCTGCGCTGACACTTTTCCTTCATGCGTGAGCATGCCACGTGTAGGCTGAGTACACAGGTCCTAACTTCATGCTCCGTCCCGCTCTCTAAGAACCCACTTGTTTATCCACCTCTCCGACTAGTGCAGTAGACTCTCACCACATACTCGTGTCTGCCAGCAGTTTGACATCAACCACATTGCACTCTCTTTCTCCCCCTTTCTCTTCGTGGCGATCAGCAAACGCGCACGCCATACGTAAGCATGGCAGCAACTTTCTTCACCTGTCCCCGCATTCCGTTCCCGCCTTTTTTTTTCCCTCTCTCTCATTGACCTTCTTGACGCGCACGTGCAGGACGAGCATCTCCGCATGTGCCAGCCCCACGACACTTGCCTCTCCGTTTTCGAGTTCAGCTTGCCCCCCGTTGACCTCAGAGCGCCGGATTTTCACACTCGTCCTTTCCCTCTGCCGCGTTCCTCTCCCGTCCCGCAGCATCTGGGCGCCAGTTGCCGAGAGCTGGCCTCGGGTCCCTGCTCCACTGGCTTCACTGCTCGGTGATGCCTCTCGATCTCGCCTGGTCTATTCTAGGACCTCAGATCCGTCTTGCGATCTGCATCACTCATCTCGCTTTCTCCTCCTGAGTCCCTGTCCTGGTGGATCTGTTCCAGGTCTGCCGTGTCCATCGAGGTCTCAGTCTCGTGATAGGCCACCGTTATCCATAGCCTTGTCGTCACTCCGTCCCGTCTGCAAGATCTCTCAGCCCGGTCTCTCGCCTCCGAAATCGCGTCCTGTAACTTCGAGTTAGTCCGCATTTCCCCTTCTCTTGCTCCCTCCACGTTGATCTTCAGTACCAGCTCATCTCCACCGTCATAGTTGAGTATGACAGTGATCCAGGGTCCTTCCCCGGACACGGGCTTCCAACGGGCCTGGTGATACCAGTACCCAGGGCTATACCCGTGCAACGCCATGGCTTTCGCTCAGAATAGACAGTCCTGTCTCCAGGAACAGACACTCGGTTCGCACAGGCACCCACTACCCCTGATTTATTGGTCTCAAGCTAGCTGCGCCAGTACACGAGGTAGCCAGCTGATGCACTTTAACTGGCTGCCAGATATCCAGCACTAGCGCTCCGGAGCGGGTGATGGCTAACCAGGCTCAGATCCTTCAGGAACAGAGGACCTCAGCGAGCCACCACCGCCCTACTCGCAACACGACAGCCTCACTCGCTTGCCGGAAGACCCAAGGGCTCCCTCTTTTATAAAACTTAGAAAAGCTGCGATCCCGGCGTGTTGAAGAAAACTCAAATAATAATTTTAAATGTTCTTTTTGAAGGGTCAGCATTCGTAACTCAACGGTCGTAGTACAGACTCCGCAACGCTACTACTGACGAACGGCGACTGAGACGGTCCCATAACGGGATACCGACCACCTGTTTCCTTCCTATTAAAAACACCAGAATGATACCCCTAATGGGTACCCACGTCCGATGGCAAGGAGGGGGTTTATGACCCTCTATAGGGGGTGATATTCCTCCTACCAATGCGGCCGCGGTTCGCCCTCCTTTTGGGGTCCAACTGCGCGGCACGGTCGGCGCTCTTTCCCAGATGATACAAGAGGGCCAACTTGGATCGCAACTCCAAATTTGGACCGTTGGCCTTCCCGCAAAACGACAAAAGGAAAAAGAAGGGCCACGTCTGAAAACCGGTAAAGTAATAATGATAATAATAATAAATAATAATAATTACGAAAAAAAAGAACGGTGCTTCAAGTCTCCTTCGTGCCACCGCTTCGCCTGGATAGCGGTGCAAGTCCATGCACAAGCCCAAAACCCAATTTTTATCCTTACCCCTTTTCTTTCCTTTTCACACTTCCATTTTTAAGCCCACTGTATCTGCCCTACAGTACAGCTACTGGGGGTCCTACCACGTGGAGCCTAGACGCGCAGGCTCGATACAGATGGCATTCGAAGGGTTGGGGCCTGCTTAGGCCACAACATCACCGCCCAAACTCGACACCCGAACCGTTAGCCCCCCTATAAATAGAGAAGAACCGCRTCAAGATATCAGCTGATAAAGATATAATAATGATAATAAATATAATAAATAACAACTCTGAGYGAGACGTAACGACGAACAACTATAGAACGTCGATTTTTCTCGATTAGCTGCCATCAGTTCACATAGACCAGGTTCTCAACTGTCATTTATTTTCCTTTTTGCATTCYCGCTTTTACTTTTATTTTYCTAGCCTTGTTTCTCTACGACAGTGACCACTGGTCTATGTACCTAACCCATAACTCAGTAGAGGGRCGATTGRCGCGCAGTTGAAAAGACTGAGCCAGCCCTCTCACCCCCGCGTCCCAGGGCGAACCCGGCGGCTACCACGGCCACAGGCCGGTTGTGCTCTGCTGTACWGCAGGGTGCCGAGTCTGCGTGGACCAATGGAAGTCCTGTGGCGCACCCCACCCCTTTTGCTGAGGGCTACACCACCGGGGCCTGTCCACGCCGAGAGACAACCCAGGCACCAGAGCAGGAAACTGGTACTATGCAGAGACCTGGTACACAGGAGGGCCGGGACACCGTGCCCTCCGACATAATACCAAACCCCCACCCAGCGTCCCCGCTGGGTCGGAAYGAGAAGTTTCAATATAAAAACAGTGCAACCCAATATGCTCTCATTCATTTCCTTTGTGGCTTGAGGCGATTTCCAYACTACCGTTTCTTTTGCGCTAGCTAATTCTTCACATTTCTCATAGCGTTCGTACTTCCCTGAGCACACCTTCTTTCTTTGCGCTCGTCTTCCTTTTCTACGTTCACCTCCTCCTCAAGTGTTCATCCTCACTCTCTGCGCTAACTATCTTCCTCTGCGCTAGGTTTCTTTCTCTGCGCTAGCTATCTCTCTTTTGCTCTAGGTTCCTTTTTCTGAGCTAACCATCTCTCTTTGCGCTAGGTTTCACGTGGGATGTTGTGGTCCTCCTCAGCTAAGCGCAGTTATTTTYCCTATTTTACCCAGTTTTCTTCTACTTCTACTTTACGGATCCATCTCTCCCATCATAATCTTTGCTCGCACAGCCTTCTCAGTCATAGCCTTTGGTGCTAGACCCGCCCCCCTCCTTCACGTGCACCATGCCTGAGGCACGCCGCGGTCAAGGTAGAGGAAGGGGAGGTAGAACAGGAAAGGCCAAAGAGGAGTCACCGGTAAGGACACGGCGCTCCTATAGTTCAGAGGAGGAGGAGGAGGAGGAAGAACCAAGAGGCTTCGTGCATCCAAGGTCCTATCCACGTTATCCATCATTAGGGTGGTACGAGAAGACTCCATCCCCTGACAGGATGGAATACCTTCATAAGAAATTTGATGCGCGCTATAGTACCCCCAGTGCTTCTTCTCCCGCTTACATCCCTAGGGCTCCTTCTACTCCAGCCGTAAGCAAGGCCACAGTGCCGGCCCCGCCTCCTTCTGTCTCATCCGTCGTCTCTTCACTCCATCATCCCAATCACTGCATTCTCTTCAGCATTTTCTTTCTTCTCTTTCTTTTCCAGTTTGAACTCATGGCTGTCTTTTATGTCCTATATAAGAGGTACCTTGGGGTACAAGTATCCCTCACCAACTGCCCAGATATCCAATGCGACGTCCTACAGCAGAAAGTGGTAGCACGTGTATCAAGATGGGGACCGGCCCCCCACCTTTAGCTGTTTGGTAAGGCTTTGGTTCTTAATGTGGCTCTTTTTTCTCTTCTGTGGTATGTCGGTAAAGTAAAACGGTTCAGCAAGAAGCTCCTCAAGGTCACAAGGAGAGTCTCGGCCAGATTCATTTGTGATTTTTTTTTTTTTTTTTTTTTTTTTTTTTTTGTTTTTGTTGAAATAATGGAAATTACAGTGGCGCCAGACAAATTTTCCCTTGTTTTTTTTCCCCCTGTCCGGGCGATTCGATCTCAGGTCTGTATTTCAACAGCTCATGGGCGCTACGCCTTTTCTATGTGGGGTCCTCTCTGATCGTCCATCATCAGTGTTTAAGCTTCTCACGGTGCCAAGAGTCACCACCTTGTGCTCTTCAGCCGCCAGGCAGGTACCGGCCCCCATTTTCACAGTTCAGGCGCGGTTGAACATGACCCGACTCTCTCGGGACCTCCCGTATAGTCATCGACCCGACCACCTTGAAATCTGGCGTGCAGACGGCTTCCTGGATGGGAGGTGCGGACGATGGGCGAACGAATAAATATTCTGCCCGGATGAATGTGCTATGCTATGCTATGCTATCTGGATCAATAGATATGCTATTCGTAATAATTGCGGTGCAGTGTCTGTGTATGTTGTTTTTTGTTACGCGGCGGGCTATGCGCACCTTTTTGTAATCGCCACGTAGCTCTATATCTGCGTGAAGCTTACAGCTCGTCAGTGGACTATTCAGTCAAGAGACAAGGCAGGATGAGTTATCTGTTCACGTCTTTGACAACGAAGCAAGAGTTGGATATGGCGATACGCGACACGGTGGACAAAGTTGTCGTTTTGCGCTTCGGGCGGGCATCGGATGCCGTCTGCATGCAGCTGGATGATATCGTACGGTACTCGATCTTTGTGGTCCTCCATTCAATCCACATCACTAGTCAAGAAATCCTCGCTGCGATCATCACGTGCCTACGTTCATGATCAGTGCGCTGCTACGGCGAGCCTTCGTCATTCTCGCCACTCGTCCCTCATTTTAATCGGTCAATGATTGCATACATTAATCAATCGGTCGGCGAATGATTGGATGCATTAATCAATCAATCGGGGAATGTGGCATGCACTTATCAATCAATCGGCCAATGATTGCACACATTAATCAATCAACCCACTAGTCAATCAATACATAGACCAATGTTCAAACAATGTCCCTGCCAAATGCTCCTCCTCACTCACTAGTTAATCAATTCATCAGCCAGCTCATCAATCAGGGAATGAATCAAACAAGCCATTACTTTATTAATCAGAGAATCAATCCATCAATCAGTCAATCGATCAGCAAATCGATCCCTCGACCATCGTGTCAATCTGCGAATCAATCAATCGGCCAGGCAACTGATAAGTCGGCCAATGAACGGATGAATGAATAACTGGATGAATCAACAAATAAACGAATGAACGAATGAATGAGTGAACGATTGACGGAATATGATTGAATGAATGAATTAATTAATTAACCAATGAACCAAGCATCCAATTAAGTTGACCAGCCAACTATTTGATATTCATGAAGCAATTGTTAGATCGATCAATCGATGAGCTACCTGAACAATCCGTCAAGGTGTCCTTGATGAATGAATTGTCTCTTTTCCTCTATTCCTGCCCCGTCTCATATTTTTTGCTCTTATAGCTGGGAGGGAAGCCTCTCTCTCGCTTCAGCGTTACTATCTTGTAGGTCATCACGCACGGCTTTTTTGACTGCTCGAGCTCCAAGCCGTACGTGCGCTGTCGATTTCTTTGTCTGCCTGTCTATCTGTCTGGCTGCC